TAGGGAATTTCCCCTCTCCCTCCGCATCCGGGCAGCCGTTCAGGGGAGTACTGACCTGGATGTTGCCACCGGAGCAGTGTGTGGAATGGCCGCTGATGGACGTGGCCTCGGTGAATTTGCCGGTCCCTTCTTGAACCTGCTTGTAATGCTGGCCTCTAGTGCATCTTGCAACAGTGACTTCAATAGCTTCATTGTGCCTCATGGGGAGAAAGGCTTGTGTTCATTAGTTTGAAACCAGCTGCCTAGTGTCTTCACTAGGTGCTAGTACTCCTGAAGTTATAAGAAAAAAAAAAAAAAAAGAATGTGTGACCCTTTTCACTTTCTCAGTGCTACTGATAAAGACTGTTAGGTGAGTTAGTGGGAAGAAAATGACAATCTCTCAAGCTGATACACTATCACATTGTGGTGTGTCATTTAAAAATAGTCAACAGTATGTATTAACCATCTGTCTCTCAATGGGATTTTAATTTCTTTTGATTTTTCCCATCCATGTTTTCTTCCTTTACATGCTGCTAACAGCTCTCCATCTTTCCCATGGGGAGGTCTTCAGAGAATTCTGGCCTGCGACTGCCAATGAAGTGTTGCTTTTTGTATGATACCATCTATATGTAATGTGTTAATCCAGCTGTTACCTGGATGATACAGCTCTCATAACACATTTTTCCAGGAGAATGTGGTAGAGGTCTGGAAGTTTATTGTACCTTAATTGCCCCAGTGTAAAACCTGGATAGCTCCACGTTAGTGGAGTTCCATTAGCCTGAGAAGCTTAGCTCATGTGCAAGAGGACAATCAGGTCATGTATTTAGAGAACAGCAGTCAGTCATAAGTACTGAAACAGCATGTGTGCTGTAACACTAACACTGTGACTAAGCAAAAAGAAAAGAACAAACTGGGATGCAGCATTTGTTTGAAGTGAAAGGGTAGCTACAAGTTACTACAAGTACAGCCAAATTTTCGTGATGAAGCTGTAAGTCACTGAGTAAGAGCTGGAAATGCGAGATCCAAGAGAGAGGTATGTGTTTACAAAGTGCAACCAGCTGCAAGTACAGAGATCATGAATGTATTGAATTAAATTCTGACTTCTGAGTAAAAAAACTGCATGTGTTGCCTAGCAAGGAACACGCAAACAACAGGAAATCAAATTAAAAGCCATTTAATTTCTGAAGTTTAATGTTAATATTAAGGTGCAGGGGAATGGTCTTACATATTAAGAAGAATTACCAGAGCCACATTACTGTGACTATGGGAGTGGAAATGTGGTTAAGCAACTCCAGTGGAGAGAAGGTTCTGCAAGCATTGCTGTCATTTCTTTTTTCTAGGAATGATTTAAACTGCCATTTTTTCTTACATTTATTTTACTGCTGTTCTTGGAAGTTGCTATGGAGTATCTAAGCTCCCTGTGTGTTATAATTTGTTGTTTGTAGTATACAAGTGGGAAGAGCCAAAAAACCAAACAAAAGGGTTGGGTTTTGAACCTTGTGACTTCACTCTGGAATTCTTTGATATGCTTTTTTCATTTGTTTGACTTTATTTTAGGAATTGTAAATAAATAGCATTGACAAAGTTATTTAGAATATGGAAAAAAAGCTTATATATGAGGACTAAATTGTAAGGCTGGTCACTTTCCCAAGACAAAAGTGTGGTAGACTAACGTGCATTTAGTGCTACTTTTTAGATGTGTGTCTGAGGAAACAGTGAAATTTGGATTGCTAATATCCTTAGATAAAGCTCTTTAAAGACTAATCCTAATAATCCAATAAAAAGAAAATCAGGAGAATGGGAGGGATACAAGGATCAGCCAGTCACTTTAATTCACAAGGAAAAAAAAATATATAAAATGTCCTGTGATAATGTATCAGCATTTTAAATACTTATTATAATGATATGTACAGCAATCTAGGAAACTGTTACCTTTTTACATATTATTTATTTTCACTCTGAAAGAGAAAATATTTTTCCTGTACTATATAAGCTTTGTCATTTATAAAACTTTGAAACGATGTCTCCACTACCTCACCCTGCTGATGACTTTAGAAATGTCTTTTACCAATGAATGAATAGTCTAAGGAATAATAATAATGCCAATATAATGTTTAAAAGTGATGCTACTCCAACCTTTAAAAACAAAGGAACACCCTTTAAAAAAAAAAAAAAGTTTTGTCTGAATTGCTCAGCTAAGTCAACGAAGACATCCAATGCTTACTGCCATTTTGTGTAAGTTAGAAGGAAGGTTGGGTACGCGGCTGTAGCAGTGCTCCTCACAGTAGCGCATCCTGCCTACACCAGCAATAAAATTAACGGCTTTAAAAACAGTGAACTTTGTTACTCTGTGATACACAAAGATAAAGGCAGTGACTTACGTAACTCTTATTTGAAGAAACCTGATCCTTGCACTCACCCCTTTCGTTTCATGAGCAGCACTTTCTTTTGGGATCACATTCGGTGGTAACCACCCGGGCTGAGCTCTTGCGACTTGCCTCTGCTGTCTGGCACCCTTGCTGTGCTACAGGTATGCGTGGGTGTGGTTTGGTTTTTTAAAACTTTTATGGCTTTTTCTCCTGAGAAATGTAAAACAAGTCTGACTTAGCATGTTTGGGGGACTTTGATTTTGTCTATGTGCTTTTTTAAAGAGTGCATGCTCATTTATGTGCTATGAGGGGGCTGCTTTCTTCCCTAATTGTTTGAGATGATGGTTCAGAAACCTTTCAGTTTCCCTCCTGAGGTGAGGAAGACCTCTCAGGAGAGTCTGTTGAAAGTGAAAGAGTCACACAGCAATATCTTTGTATTTTTCTGATTGTATGTGCAAGTTTCTGAAAACTAAAGTTATTGTTTGGTCTTCAGATAAACGCTCAAGTGCTTGCAGGTGGAGGTGGTGGAACACCAAGGCTGTGGGTTTACAGATCCTCCTAAAAGAATACCTTTGATAGCTGTAAGAGAGGAGGATTACTTTTTGAGGGATATTTCAGTAGCATTTCAGAAATGGAAAAAGAGACTATTTGGATGTAATGCGTACTATGGCAAATGTAGAAACACCAAAATGTTTTGATTACACTATAAAGCTTGCAAGTCTATATGGCTTATAAACCATACAAGCCAACACTACCCCTCGCAGGCTTGTGCCTGGAGCTCTTTGCCTCAGCTGCTGTATCTGCATCTTTAAGTATTTCATGGTTTATAATTTGCTTTATGTTTTATCAGATAATGTAAAATATTTGCAGTTAAAGCCTTTAAGGATATACTGACTGGTACAGGCATTGTGTTTGTGTTTCTGGAGTTCTGAAATACATGTTTCTTTAACATTCAGTTGCTGGTTTTGTTATATTTTAGTCTAATCAAAAGGAAATAGTTTGTGGATGGAAAACTAGTTACCAACTCTTTCCTATTATATATTTAAACTGTATTTTGTCTTATATGCTCATCTATTATTTTTTTTCCTAGTACACTTCTTTTAAATTAGAAGTCCTATATGTGAGACTACATGTAGGAAAAATCCACCTATAGGTGGGAATGGCTTGTTTAAAAAAATAGTAGAGGATTAGTATAAATGTGTGCCCAGAGTTAATACAGCTTTCAAATAAGATACAGCTTGTCGTAAATTGATCTGTGAAAATGAAATCTCCCAAGATCTGCAACCCTACCCCTGCTAATACTGCTTGGGTTATACTCAATTTTAAACTCTGCAAATCCAGAACATCTCGGTCCCTGGAAATCTGTGTAAATCTCCTGGCTGTAGGGTTGTTTGCTTGTTTGTTTTCCTAAAGGTGTCCCTTTAGTGCCACAGCTATGTAAGTCACGCTAGTTCAGGGACTGTTCAGTAACCTGCTTTTTCCTGTTTCTCTCTGTGAGTACATTTGGCATAATCAAGTTCGAACATCCTTGTTTCTGTACTAGCAAAATTTTCTCAGTACACACAATTCATCTGTGGAGAATTTAAGTAAAGCTTTATCCAAATTCTTGCCACGTTCTTTAATAATTTGGAGATACTCTGTGCATATTCAAATATGTTATTCGAGTCATTTTGCAACAATATGAAGTCAGTTCACCTAGCTGGTTAACCTAAGGTCAGTGGCATAAAATCATTAACTTGAGACCAAGGAGCTATATAAATCCGTATTAGATTCGGCTGGCATTTTTTTACTTTTGTGAATTACTTGTTTATTTTCGTTTAAGCAATAGTTTGTAAAAAA